GAGACAGAGTCTCGCTCTGCCATGACCTCGGCTCACTGCAACCTCCTTCTCCTGGGTTCAAGCAGTTCTCCTCAGCCTCCCGAGTAGCTAGCACTACAGGAGCATACCATCACGCCTAGTTAATTTTTGTATTTTTAGTAGAGATGGGGCTTTACCATATTGGCCAGGCTGCTCTCGAACTCCTGACCTCATGATCTGCCCACCTTAGCCTCCTAAAGTGCTGGGATTGCAGGCATGAGCCACCAGGCCCAGCTTTTTGTTGTTGTTTTTTGAGACAGAGTCTTGCTCTGTCACCTGGGCTGGAGTGCAGTGGCACAATCTCAGCTCACTGCAACCTCTGCCTCCCCAGTTCAAGTGATTCTCCTGCCTCCCTCACTGTCCCGAGAAGCCAGGATTACAGCCTGCTACCACGCCAGATAATCTTTGTATTTTTAGTAGAAACAGGGTTTCACCATGTTGGCCAGGCTGGTCTCAAACTCCTGACCTCGGGTGATCTGCCTGCATCAGCCTTCCAAAGCTCTCCCAAATTATAGGCATGAGCCACTGCACCCGGCTCACTTTTTGCTGTTTCTGAACAGACTGTTATTCCTGTCCCCTGTCACTTCCACTCATTGATGCATTTCATGCTCTTTGTTATTACATAAGAAGTCAGGCACTTCTGTGGCCTTGCCCTTCAAAGCCCCCAAGACAAGTGCCCTGGTAAGCCTCCTTTCCTGACCCCAGTCTGAGATACAGTGGGCTTAGGCTGGAGCTGCTCCGAGCAAGGGCCCCAAATGGCCTCTAGGCATGCTTTGTTTTTTGTTCTGAGACTGCGTCTTGCTGTGTTGCCCCAGCTGGACTCCAACTCCTGAGCTCAAGTTATCCTCCCACCTCAGCCTCCTGAGTGTCTGAGACAACAGATGCTTGCTACTGTGCCTGGCATTTTTGGGGGGAATTTTCAAAGGGATGCCTCTCGGTGGCCTACACACTGTCCAGATGGCCCACAGACCTTTCCCTGCCCAGCCTGAGTAACACATTGATCTCATCTGCCTGGCCCTGTGGGCACTTCAGTTTGCAACTAAGCCTGCTCCTAAAGCCATTTCCAGCTTATTCCTAATTGGTTATCTCACATATCTGCTTGATCCCCAAAAGATCAGACAGAAATTTTTTATTTTATTTTGTTTTGAGATGGAGTCTCACTCTGTCGCCTAGGCTGGAGTGCAGTGGCGCAATCTCGGCTCACTGCAACCTCTGCCTCCCACGTTCAAGCAATTCCCCTGTCTCAGCCTCCAGAGTAGCTAGGATTACAGGCACACGCCAGCATGTCTGACTAATTTTTGTATTTTTAGTAGAGATGGGGTTTCATTATGTTGGCCAGGCTGGTCTCGAACTCCTGACCTCATGATCCTGCCTCAGCCTCCCAAAGTGCTGGGATTATAGGCGTGAGCTACCACGCCTGACTGACAGAATGTATTTTTAAACTGCCTGGGTTCAAATGCTAGCCCTGATATACACTACCTTTTGTAAATTGGGTTACTTCCTCTCCTCTAAAAACCAGGGAGGACGGCCAGGTGTGGTGGCTTACACCTGTATTCCCAGCCCTTTGGGAGGCCGAAGCAGGAGGATTGCTTGAGCTCAGAAGCTGGAGATCAGTCTCGGCAACATGACAAAATGTTGTCTCTATAAAATTTTTTTTAAAAAATCAC